TTTATGGCAGTCGGTTGTTCTGGAAAATGATGCGTTTCTCTCGTGAATTTAAATGACTGTAATGATTCCAAGATCGGTCGGTCACTTGTTTCGCTGTCAGTTGTTCTTGGAGGCCGGTCGTTTTACCACGATGCTGTCCTTCGGGATCCTGCAGTTGATATTGTAACCTTCGATCCAATAGAATTTTTGACTGATTCGCGCTTACGTAGCGAAGCGTTACTTAAATTTGAAGGCTACAATGATGTACAGATAACCACTTTATTTCTGAACCGGTTGCCAACGGTAACTTAATCGGCAACAGTCAAACTGCAAAGCAAATGAAAGATTTGCGTTTTAAGTATGAAATTGCACTTAAAGGCTGAAATATTCGCAGCGAAATGCTACTTACAATTCTGTTGGGTAATCCACACATCTTAACACGGCTCTTTACATTATCTTTCAATGGTTGTGTCCGGTTGATTGCAAGGCGAGTCTAATTAAAAATACATTACGCCTATCTTATACAAAAATGCTAATTCGTCGCCAGGTCCTTCGGGACTGCATTTTGGCGCCAAATCGGTACAGCTACACAAGCGCAAATCATTATAATTGAAAAAAATGGTAACGAAACAATGAACAGATTTTCACTTGCTTACATTGAAAAAATACATTTTTTTATTCTAAATTCTGGTAAAATGCCACTTTTTGTGTTTACCATGGTATTAGTTTTATAACCGCAATTTGAGAAATTGATTCAACAAATTCTAGGGGAAAATAAAATGCTACCTACCTAAGCACATTGTCCTGTGATTGGACTCCTGGAAACCTTCTGGACATTTACAAGTCTTGTAGTCTTGAGATATTTGGAATCCACTTGGACACTTGCAATAGTAACTTCCTTGAGTATTGACACATAAATGGCTGCAGTTGCCCTTCAGTTTCTGGTGGCATTCATTTACATCTGAGTGAGAAATCAAATTGGCACGGTATGATGCACTGCTCTGCAATAAGCAAGGCTTATTCTTTCCTTGTAGAGAAGGGAGAAGGAAGAATAAGAACCTAGAACTTATATACTACTACTTTATATATATCCAAAATTTTCTCCCTTTCTGAATTCGAGAACAATAGGTATTGTTGTTTTTGATCGTTTCTTGCCTTGTAAGGACAAAGGCGATCAACGTGAAATAATAGCTTTCACACGCGGGAAATTTCAACATTTCCGATAACTTCTTTCCGAAGACGTTTGAATTTCCAGGGCGACCGAAGTAAGGATTAATTTCAACCCAGGGGGTTACAGTAGTCAGGACGGAACCCGTACGACGTAGTAGTGGTAGTGAGGTAAGTGCTGAACAGACGAGTTCATCAGTTGCATCCTTGTTGTTTATTTCAGGCTGAGCCTATTGGCAGCAACTTTTACGCAAAACATGCTCGTTAGTATTGCTGTAAGGAACTAAAATGTGGGCTCGAATAGAAGAAGCTGAGAATTTATAATGCGGTTTGTTTGATCGCATACGCTTTGGTTGTGATTTTTTATATACTGGTTATTCTGTTTCCGAGATGGCAACATTTCGATTTCGCGCTAGAGAACAAGCCTTTGAATCTACATGCAAATGAAGTTTAAAGTTCACATTCGTTCGTCAGAACACGGATTGACTTATTAGAATTAAAATCACATATTATTCATGTATTGAAAAGCGTAGTATTCAATAGAGGATTATAATCAAACCGATTCTTCTCAGTAAACAAAAGACTGAAAAAAATCGCACCTCCTTTTTAATGGCCAGCGAGTTTTAAAGCACAGCTCAATGCCCCCAAACTGATATTATTTATTGCTCTCTTCGAGTGAAAATTAAACGTGCTTGGTGCTGAACATCTAGTATGAATGCGCCATATACTTGTGCAACGTTTCGGACAGGGTTAAACGAAACAAATCGATCTATAAAAGCACATTTTCCGTCAGCGATGAATACACTGCAAGGAATAAGAAAACAAAAGACTTAAATACTCGCTTCTTCCTTTTACTGTGCCGCGAAGTTAACAAGACACATCGATTCGATATTTTTTCTGCCCCTGGAACTATCGCGCACGGCACTGTTAGGCTGCCACCTCGCAGCCTCAAGTCTTCGCGAGGCTACTCTTTGGCAATAAAATGCCTTGTATTTTACTGTAGCTACTGCTGCTATTACTCCTCCAAACTCTGTAAAATGAAGGACTCCTAAAACTTATTGGAATAATTGAACCTGACAGTTTGAATGACCGTATTGGGGTGGTAACGCCGTACCGCTCAAGGTAAAAAAACGCTCGAACGGTATTTTACATTCTTTGCCTAGATCACAGTACATAGGGAACATATCAACGGAGTGAGAGCTTGAGTAAAGAGATATTATAACCCGCCAACTACGGACAAATTTCTCGATATATCAAACTGTTGATTTTACAAAATTATACTAAAAGGAAAATATTCATGATCTTGACAGTTTTTAAGAAAGCATGTGAAGTATGATGACTACCTGGCGTTTTCATACTTTCATCATTTTCATGTAGAGCTAAGTTGTAATATTTAATTTAATTCTATTTCATTTTAGTTATTTTTGAAAAAATCAACAACAACAATAATATTAATAATAATAAACATGATAATTATAATATTGTGTCGACATATGTTCCGTTAGAGACAACGCAGTTTTCAAAATAGCTCAGGCTCGTTATTTAAGCAATAGAAAACGTTTTCCGAGGCGAGGCGAGGCGTTGGGAGAATTCGAGACAGTTATGCAAACCCGAGACGAAGTCGAGGGTAAACAAGGGTTTATATCAGGCTATGCAAACACAGGAAGAAAAGTTTTCTATTGCTTTTTTAAAATAACTTTCCAGCGAAAAAAAAACGCAAAACTCTTTGTATGGCACTGATTAAAGGAGACATTCTTACCAGTCGCAAAATCTTGTCCACGAAGTCTTGCACGCGTAATCAGCTCTTGTTTTGCAAAAAGATGCTTTGCAAAATACGTTTTTTTATTACGCTTTAAATGTCAGCTTAAGCGAAGAAAAATTAACTGACCTTCTTTGTAACGATTTTCCATGTTTCAGCCGACGAAGGAATGGGTAAATAAAGTAAACTTGCCGAGTTTTGAACAGCTTTTGAAAAAGTTTAAGCACGAACGCACTAATCGCGCGCTTTTGGGTAACAACTTGACGCCACAACCATGTTTACATACTCTCATGCAAACACTCCTCTCGGCCAATCAGAGCGCGCGTACTATCTTAGTTATTTTATAAATGTGTATGTTTATGGAAAGTAAATGATTTCATTTCCTTGCTTACCAATGCAGCTCCTTCTAGTTCTGTCGTACCATGGAATTTTGAATCCTGTTTTGCATTTACAGAAATAGCTTCCTGGGGTATTCACGCATTCGTGTTGACAGCCACCGTTCTTATTTTCACATTCATTGATATCTGTATTGGGTGTAAACGAGTATTATGATTAAAAAAGATTTGATAAATGTTTGCTGGCTGTGGTAATGGCATAAATAAAGAAAAAATCTAGTATTTTTACTACAGCCAATGCTACTTCTTCTGCATCGCCAGCAACTACCACTGCAACCACCTCTACCACCGCTAAACTCGGTAACCCGATGGACTCTTAAAGTCATTGGAATAATTTAACTTGACAGTTTGAATGATGGTTTTCAGGTTTTACGCCGTGGCACTCAGGTAACAAAACGGTGAATGGTATTTTGTATTCTTTGCCATTCAAGATAAGTAATACTAGTGTTTATATCACTGGAGTAAGAGCTTAAGGTCTTAGAGCAAAGAGATATTACGCTGATTTAGCGACAGAACGGGAACGTTATTTGACGACGGGAAAGCGCGCGGAAAGGACTAAACTCGACTTCCGGTGCCCACTTTGCCGCTCAGCAACTGGTCAAGCCAGGTGTTTGATTTGCGGGCGCCGTTGTCAACAGACGTTCCCGTTCTGTTGCTAAATCAGCCTATTGGAACACGCAAACCACAGACACTAGCTATATCAAACTGTTAATTTTGAAAAATTACACTTAAAAGAAAAACATTTATGATCAGTGATTAAAAAAGGTTTATGAAAAAGGAACTAATCGATGGGTGGAAAAGAAAGCATACCGTATTTTCTCAAGTTTGTTCCGACCTGCTGTTTTTAGAAAAGATGGTTTTTGGTCATTTTTCTTGACAATCATGTATACTGCCTTTACACCGTACGTTTATCATACTACAAATAAACGACTGACGCGCAGTTATTCGAGAAAATACGGTATGCAGTATAAAAATTACCCAACATTTTGATACTTTGATCATTTTCACTGTGCAGCTTATATTTGCTTTTGTTTTATTTTATTTTATCAAGAGATGGAGAATAATCGGATGGAGAGGGAAACGCCCAGACTTGTACTTGGGATATGTGAATTTGACCAAAGTTATTTTTAGACCAGTTAAACGCTTGAAGTTAATCGGAAGTTTGTTTCGTGAGAGGTCTGCAAACTGGTATTCAGTATTGTCAGAGAGAATTCAACAGTCATCATAACAATATTCTGCATTTTTTTTAATTGAGGCAGTCGCGCATGGACTTGATGACATTTCAAACCATCAATTAAAATGTGCTTACGTCTCAGTAACTAGACTTCCGTTTAATTACAAACTCCAAAAATAACTTAAGTGAAATTTACATACATCGGTGAACGCCCTCTCTCATTCCGTCCTCTCATTCAGTCCCATTATTCTCGCTTGATTTTGGCTTATTTTAATAACTACTACTACCACTACTACAGCTACTGCTACTGCTACTGCTACTGCTACTACTGGTAATAAACATGACAATTATAATATTGTGTCGACATGTGTTTCGTTTGACATAACGCAGTTTTCAAAATAGCTCAGGCGCGTTATACGTGTGTCTGTTTATGGAAAGTATAAATGATTTCATTTCCTTGCTTACCAATGCAGCCCCTTCCACTTCTGTGGTCCGACGGTATTTTGAACCCTGTTTTGCATTTACAGTAATAGCTTCCTGGGGTATTCACGCATTGCTGACTGGGATGACAGCCACCATTACCACGCTTGCACTCATCGATATCTGTATTAAGTCCAATGACGATTAACTTAAATCATCAGTTTCAGGAAAAAGCTAAACCACCCAATATTATTCAAAAGTTACGGAGTAACTTTCATTTTAACAGCGACCATCTGAAACAAATATTTAAGCTGCCACACTCTATCGTTGTCGAGTAGTATGTTAAAGCCTTCCAGTGCAAAGTAATTAGCTCAATTCTTTACACAAATACAAAGTTATATAAAATAGGTTTTTACAAATGATTTATGTACTTTCTGTGACAATCAGCCCTAATCATTAACCCATTTGTTCTATCACTGCTCACGTTCTAAACAGTTTTGGATTGAATTCGAATTATATTAGTGCCCTATTACGAATCAACGAATTCGTCTCTGCTTCGAAAATGTGCTCTTTAGAATTTTGACGGAAAATGCTTGCCCTTTACTTCAACTGCTGAACTATTTGATAATTATTGGAAAACTCTATTTGCGGGACTGTAGGAGCAAACAAATACTTCCAAACATTTATGGACTTAGGGCGAAGATCATCGCTAGAATGAAACAGAAAAAAAAAATCAGCAACAAAGATTTCTTTAAAAGAAAACGGATACTGACGCCTTATTTAACTGTCTTAACTTAGTATTATTTCATTACCCTGTTGTACTTTTTTCTAATTTCTTTTAGCCCTGTAAAAATTTAACGATTAATTTTGCTTTACTCTGTTAATGTCTATTGTTAAAATGCTTTTTTGTAGTATTGTAAATGTAATTATCTAATGCGATTATCAATAAATATATATAAAAACAGAATTAGTGCAAAAATAAGATTTAAAAAAACAACAACAACAGCGACAAATTTAAACTTAAATCTATCCAGAAACCATAATCTTAAGATACAGCTTTAACTTCAGCACTTACCCAAACATTTGTACTTTTTATTCCTTTGAAATCCTCTCTCACATGCTGCATTGCAGACAAAAAAGAATAACAAGCCATACTTTTTGTTAAGCTAAGGTTTTATATCATAACGTGATCAATTTGTTCAGTGATGGCTCTTAATGGTATTATACATGTATTTGCATAGAAAGCAACTTGAAATTCACTGTACTGAAATCCAGAAAATTTTGAGTTTCAAAATTATTGTCATTCTCAGGCGGAAGTAACCACAGCGCAAAGGAGGTGTGCTAATTTCACTTTAAAGTTGTAAGAGACCTATCGAGGAGCGTAAATGATAGGAACAAGCAATTAACAAAAACGCTATCCCCTTCAAATGGTAGGGTAAAACCAGGGACCGCGGAGCGGGGGACAATAATTTTGCGGCGATTGCCCTTACTCACTTGTTTTGTTTGTGGTTTTGTTTTACGCTTTTTAAAACTTTTATTTTACGCAAAACAGCATTTTTTTTTCTTTGCGGGAGACCCATTATATACATTCACAACCATTTTTTTCACGACTATCAATTTTAAATGCATTTCTAGCGATTCTAGAAGTTCAATTTTTCACAATTTTCAAAGGGAGCATGCCCCTGGATCCCCTAGAAACCTTGCGCTTGGGATATTGCGCCCCCAATCTAAAACGTCCTCCGCGGTCCCTGAAAAAGTCTTGTTACATTACCTCGTATAATAATAGCCGAACGTTGGCGATACCCGAAGTATCTATTGTGTTGTAAAATAACCCATGGATTGTTCCCTTCCTTTCGAACAGCTATCTGGGTCAAGAAAGTAAATATATATTCAGAATGTCATGCCAGGCCCCATCTTCAATTGGACATGGATGATTCAGATACTTTCGCGACTCGACGACGAGGACGTGAAAAAATAGCACGTCTTTGTAAGGTGGGTCTTCAAATCTTACTTCCTCTAAAAGCAACAGGAAGTTTTATTGGGCTATCGAAGATTCTCTAGAGAAAAACGAAAACGAGAGAAGGCTAGGGGTAACAGAATAGAAAAGCAAGAATTACTTAGAAGTAAAGTCTTTCACAATTGCAAATAATTTTTCCAAAAGATGGATCTAATCCCCTTGAAACTTCAAACTGAAACGTTGTACGATATTGAACCCATGCCATCAGTTATCAAAAGGCTGAGAGAAAAAGCAATGAAGAAAAGGCGAGAAAAAACTAACATGAAAATGAAGAAATTCTGGTCCAGAGTGGATTAGAGTAATTCAGAGTTTGTAACTCGGCTAATTGCTTATAATAGCTGGCATCGCTGTAAAGCATAGTTTACCAAAACGCATTCCTTAATGTCTCTATAAACGTTAGTCTAAATCGCCTGAAAACATCGAAATAAGGGTGTTTTGAATGGTGTACAAGCAAACGTTTGCACCTATATATTCTATATTCGGTCTATTATTTCACGAGTGATTTGTTGCTTTATTGTCTTTTGACATCGTTGGCTTCCTTGTTGTCTATTTCTGCTAATTTCAAAAGGCCATGCCCTGATACTGACCTCATTTAAATAGTACCACTTCCAATCGTTCTCTCCTCGAATGATTTTAACTCCTGCCAAATTACCAACCTGCTTAGCCCGCATGTAGTATAATCGCGATCTTCAATAGAAATAAATAAATAAATCATAAAATAAGATT